CCCCCCTCCCCCGGACTTCCTTGTGCCGGTTCCCCCCCCGGTCGACCCCCTCCCCCCTCAGGTTCCTGCCCCCTCAGGTGTGTCCCAGGTAGACGCCGTTGACCCGGTCGAGGTTACTGGTGACTCTGGTGCTCCTGCGGGTGCTGAGCCTGGGGGTACTGACTCTGGGGGTGCTGACCCTGAGGGTGCGGGGCCTGGGGGTGCTACTGCTGGGGGTGCTGGGCCTGGGGGTGCTACTGCGGTGGGTGCGGAGCCTGGGGGTACTGGGCCGGGGGGTGCTGAGCTGGGAGCTGCTGCGCCTGGGGGTTCTGAGCTGGGAGCTGCTGAGCCTGGGGGTGCTGCGTCTGGAGCTGCTGAGCCTGGGGTTTCTCCTGCTGCTGCGTCTCGCCGGGAACCCCTCTCTCCACAGGAGCTGCGCGAGTGGTTCGCTCGCCGCTGGAGGCGTGCTGCTGAGTCTGGAGGTGCTGCTGGAGCTGGAGCTGGAGCTTCTTCGACCGTCGAGGGTGCGGGTGCAGCCGGTCCCGGAGCTGCTGGCCCTGCAGGTCCTCCTGGAGCTGGAGCTGCTGAGGGCGTTCGTGCTGAGCCTGCTGCTGTTGGTCCTGCCGCTGGAGGTGTGGGTGGCGCTGGTGCTGTCGCTGAGGGTGCTGGTGCTGTCCCTGCTGAGTCTGGAGCTGCCGCGCGGCCTCGGCCGTACTTCGTTCCGCTCCTGCAGCAGGTTCTTGGTCTTTCTCCTCTAGTAGAGGGTCCACCGCCTGTCCTGTCGCAGTCCCTGCTGGAGCCTTCCTCTCCACTGCCTGCTCCCTCTCCTTACACTGGTCCTACTGGAGGTCTTGCTGAGCGTCGTGAGCCTGCGTCTCGTCCCGCGTCGCCTGTTCGTGCTGCTCGCGCTAGTGGTCGCAGTTCGCGTCAGCGTCCTCCTCCTGTCCCTGGCACGCACCGGATGTCTTTACGTCCGTCCACTGCTCCTCTGCGTGCCCCTTTGCCTTCCCCTCCTGAGTCCTCTCTTCCTGCGCTTGCCGACCCTGAGTCGGACTCTCTTCGTGCTGCCAGTCCCACTGTCACGCGTCTGCTTGCTACTGTCGTCACTGACCCCTCTTTTGAGTCCACTGCTGCGTCTGCTCTAGTCACTGAGCTCGTCGACTTTGCTGCTCGCTGTCGTCTCGACTACGCTGCTAGTCTTGTTGCTGAGTCTGCGTCTGTCTGTCCTCCGTCCGTCGGGGGTGAGTGTGCTCTTGGCACAGACGTCCTAGAGGACAGGCAGGAGGAGTTACAGTGTCTAGCGGCTGCTTCACCTCATCTCGCGTCTGTACTGCTTGCCCCTGAGGGAGACCCGGATGCACTAGACATCCCGACTCCGCGTTCTTACGCGGAGGCCGTAGAGGGTCCCTACTCCTCTCAGTGGCAGGCAGCTATGGATGCAGAGATGGCTTCCTGGAAGTCCACAGGCACCTACGTTGACGCGGTTCCCCCTCCTGGGGCGAACATCGTCAGTGGCATGTGGATCTTCAGGGTGAAGCGGCCGCCGGGCTCTCCACCTGTCTTCAAGGCACGGTACGTTGCTCGTGGCTTCAGTCAGCGGCAGGGAGTTGACTACTTTCAGACCTTCTCTCCCACCCCGAAGATGACTACTCTTCGGGTGCTGCTGCACATAGCCGCTCAGCGCGACTACGAGCTTCACTCTCTCGACTTCAGCACTGCGTTCTTGCAGGGTAGCCTGCACGAGGAGATCTGGCTTCGCCGTCCACCTGGCTTCACTGGGACTTTCCCTCCTGGCACCCAGTGGAGCCTCCGACGGCCAGTCTACGGTCTCCGCCAGGCACCGCGTGAGTGGCACGACACACTGAGGACTACGCTTGCGGCTCTTGGGTTTGCTCCTTCTACTGCTGACCCGTCGCTGTTTCTTCGCACCGACACTTCCCTGCCGCCGTTCTACATCCTCGTGTACGTCGACGACCTGGTCTTTGCTACAGCGGACACTGCTGGACTCGCCTACGTGAAGTCCGAGCTGTTGAAGAGACACACGTGCACAGACCTGGGTGAACTGCGCAGCTACCTTGGCTTGCAGATCACTCGGGACAGAGCACGCCGCACCATTACCCTGACTCAGTCACACATGGTGCAGCAGGTCCTTCAGCGCTTCGGCTTCACGTACTCCTCGCCTCAGGCCACTCCTCTGCCTACTCGCCACTCACTCTCAGCTCTGCCTTCGGATGAGTCCGTAGAGTCGAGTGGTCCGTATGCGGAGCTTGTTGGCTGCCTCATGTACCTGATGACCTGCACACGACCTGACCTTGCATACCCTCTGAGCATTCTTGCACGCTATGTTGCCCCTGGGAGACACAGACCGGAGCACATGGCTGCAGCAAAGAGGGTATTGCGCTACCTGTGCAGTACGTCAGGCATGGGGCTAGTGCTTGGAGGGCGGAGTCCAGTGGTCCTTACCGGCCACGCGGACGCTTCTTGGGCTGACGACCAGGCTACGCAGCGGTCGTCACAGGGTTACACCTTCAGCCTTGGTTCCGGCTCTGTCTCGTGGCGGTCTACTCGCTCGTCTTCGGTTCTCGGCTCCAGTTGTGAGGCTGAGATCTACGCCGGGGCCATGGCTGCACAGGAGCTTCGCTGGCTCACCTACCTGCTGACTGACCTTGGAGAGCCGCCTCGTTCTCCTCCAGTGCTGTACGTAGACAACAAGGATATGCTGGCCTTGTGTCGAGAGCAGCGCTTGGAGCACAGAACGAAGCACATTGCTCTCCGCTACTTCCTTGCTCGTGAGCTGCAACAGCGTGGTCAGTTGCGACTTGCGTACGTGGCCTCTGAGGCCAACACTGCTGATGTGTTCACCAAGGCACTTGCGCCTTGTGACCATCAGCGCTTCTGCACCCAGCTGGGTCTTGTGCCTGTCTTGCCTCACTTGCTCTCCTCTTGACTTCACTTGTACTGTGACATATATATATACCTGCTCTTGCTTGTCTAGCTTTATATATATGTCTGTACTCTTGCTTGTGAACTGGCCTTTGGCCTTGCTCTTGTGCTCGGACTGTGTGGTGACTTTGTGATCCACCCTGAGCTTTGCTTTGTCTTGCTTGACTGGTCTTGTGACCCCTTGTTCTCCCCCACTTTGCCTATGGGGGTGTGTCAGAACATATCTATAGCTTATACTGCTGTGTAGGCTGTAGTGGGGTATCCCATAGGGGGTACAACCCAGTTAGGGTTTCATATTTGTACCACTTTCTTTCATAGTTCATTTCATTCCTGCTTACCTATCTTCACAGTTGTGTAAGGAATTTTCTCGATATTCCTTAGCGCGCCCTGCAACATCGCGTACAGCATCAGCCGTTGTTCGCCCGTTACTGCTAACGGGGCTTCGCCAACTTCGCGCGCACTGTTTCACCAAACCTCGCACTGCTGGCCTGGCCGTGTCGGCCTACGCTTCGGGACTAGCCTGAGCCTCGCTTCCAGCATAGCACTAGCTAGCTCGCACGCACCGCGTTACCGTTTGCATGTTTCGCGTATAAATGTTCGCTCACGCATTCGCTCACATTTTCTACTCGTGTGACACCTTAGTGCAATTCTCGCTACTTCGATTCATTGCACCCGTAACAAGTATACATAAAAAATTTCCTACATATGTTGTGATGATTAAAACACCCTGTATCTAGTAATGAAGTTGAAATTATGGTTCATATATCCATGCATAATCTAAAAAAATAAACTAATAATGAGGAAAGCCAATCAATTTTTTATAGCGGTAGCCCAATTGCTGGAGGAATCCGGAGAAATTGTATCATCATGCATATTTGAGAGACATCAAGGAAAATTGTATTGAGGTTAGATACGGGCAGGAGGTAAGGGGGAGGGATTAACATGCATTGACCAGCTGTATCCTCCATTCCAGCTTCACGAACCTTCATTACTAGTTTATATTTCCTTGGACTTAAAGCTGGTAAGGGGGCTGTGTATAATGTCGCGTTTTTGGTTGTCCTGCTGCCAGCGCGTATTTTCAAGTTGCTGCCAGGCCCTGAACCAGCACGAGGCCCAGCTGGTTGCTTGTCTTGTCGTTAGCCCTGCATGAGATCGCGAAGGAAGTAAGCGAACGTCGTTAGGTCCTCGTATCAGACACCAGTGTGCTTCGACTCTACGCAACCTGTAGCAGGAACGCTGCCTCAGAGAGCCACTCGCTGCCTCGGGATTGTTTTCCAACCTCGAGATTTGCTTCGCTGGATGTTTTCAAACACAACTCGAGTCTGCTAGTCATTCTGCTTCACGGTTCTGTGCGTTGATTCTTTGCTTCTTAGAGTTGATAGAACTTCGTTGCACATCCCTCATCCGTTTACCCTCTATTGTTAGGGTTTGCTTGCTACGCCTCTCTCTCCTAAGCGAATTTGCGAACTGTGGTAGTCATCGCGTGCCTGGGAGCTTCCGTGCTTTTTGCTTAGTAACTTGCCAGCGACTGCCGATTTGCGGTGCTGAGCGTTTTCAATCCAGAACCATGGCGACGGCTTCAGGTGAGGCCTTTTCGCCGCCGAGATGCTATATGACTGTCAGACGATTTATGGATGTTGGGTAGCTTGTAGACTCGAAGTGTTTCAAGCCATATCGGGAACGGATGAAACCTAGTCTGTAATACTCGAAGATTGTTCGTCAGATGCTTTTGTTCGATGCCTTTGTTCGTACGCATTCCGACCGAGCTTGGAGACGTCTTAGGAATGGATGCAACGTAGTCTGTATACGCGAGGAGCGTTGTACACATTCTGAGCTAGTTAGGTGCCGTCTTAAAACTTGATTACATCCGTTTTAAACGTCGAATCTCAGTACCAAGTGCTTTCGTTGATCAGTTTTCGTCTCCTCGTGTCAACAATTTAACCGTTAGAGGGTTCTCTTTATGGAACTGTTTGTTATTTGTCTATGATTCGATTAAAATCACCTACGTGAACCATCTGGATTATAATTTCTGCTGCATCGTGCGGCCGTTCGGCGTTTCTCCTTACGTTCTTCACGGCATGACATGCGTCTCTCCCGTATCCCTCCTCGGGACTTACGAGGACCCAGAATGTTAGCTTGCGTGCCTTGAAGAGATTTTTCTCTAATTCGTGCCCTTGACGTTGTGACTGCTAGTTGACCTATCTCATCGTCTGTTCGTACTTCTCCTCTCCCTTCCCTTCCTTACCTTCTAACAGCGGCGTTTTTAAGTCACGCGTGGACCACAGGAAGCAGCAGGAGCTGGAGGAGGCGCGTAAGGCGAGAGTTCACTTTCCTTATCCTTCTAAAATCTCATTCCTCCCCTCTTGTCCGTTTTTTGTCTTATCCAGCCACGTTCAAGTCGCGCGAGGATCACAGGAAGCAGCAAGAGCTCGAAGAGGCGCGTAAGGCGGGGTTGGCGCCAGCCGAGTTGGACGAGGATGGCAACGAGATCAATCCGCATATCCCGCAGTACATGTCGTCCGCGCCATGGTACCTCAACGCCGAACGACCTGTGAGTAGAGGGGGAGAGAGAAGGGAGGGAAGGGGGAAGGGGAAGAGGTATAGGGGTTGTTGGGAGGAAGGCTGTTGGAGGGTGTGTGAGTGGGTGGGGTTCGTTTCTCAAAGCATGCCTTGGTTGCCTTGCTACGTCAACGTAACCACCAAACGTTTGTTTCTGCACATGTCGCTTTTGGATTTACAACGTGTGCGGTAACCTGTATATTCTGTATCCGCCCTGATGTGCGTCTGAGCAGAGTTTGAAGCATCAACGGAACTGGAAGGGCGAGGGGAACTACACCAACCTGTGGTACGACAGAGGAGCCAAGGGCTTTCAAGCCGAGAAATACCGCAAGGGCGCCTGCACCAAGTACGTTCCATGCCTCACCGCCCTCCCTGTTTGTGCCTAACACTCTGTGGTGCTCTAGTCTAGTCTATCTAGTATAGCCTGGAGGCGAGGGGAACTACACCAACCTATGGTACGACTGAGGAGCTAAAGGCTTTCAGGCTTTCAGGCTGAGAAGTATCGCAAGTACCATAGGTTGGTTTAGTTCTAGTCTAAAGGCATCAACTACGTTATCTTACCTCCACTGCTTGTGCGTCACTCTCTGTGGTGCTCTAGTCTAGTATAGGGCGAGGGGAACTACACAAACCTGTGGTACGACCGAGGAGCTACGAACTTCTAAGTGCGTGCCCTCAGCTTAATGCATGTGGTTTTCCCTGTGACTATCCAGCCAGTTGAGTCGTTTCCTCTTGCCAACTCTATGCGCGCAGTGCCATCTTCCCCCCCATCCCCGCTCTCCCACCCACCCTCTCTTCTCGCGTTTGGCTTTATCTCCTCCCTTGTCTTTCAACCCACCAGCTGTGGCGCCATGAACCATACCGCCAAGCTGTGCGTTGAACGCTGGAGGAAGGGGCGAGTCACTTAGTGAGAGTATGCCTTTTCCCCCATTCTGGCCCCACCACCAGCTGTGGTGCCATGACCCATACCGCCAAGCTGTGCGTGGAGCGACCGAGGAAGGTGGGCGCTAAGTGGACGAGCCAGAGCACGTGCTGAGAGGTTATCTCGTCCTCCCTTGCCCACACCGTCCCCCTGTCCCCTCACCCCTCTTCCAACCACCAGCTGTGGCGCCATGACCCATACCGCCAAGCTATGTGTGGAGCGGCCGAGGAAGGTGGGTGCCAAGTGGACGAGCCAGAGCATCGCAGCGGACGAGAAGATCCAGTCGATCGAACTCAACTACGAGGGCAAACGCGACCGCTGGAACGGGTTTGATGCTGCCACGTACAAGCGAACCATGGATTCGTATGACATCCGGGCCGAAGCGAGGAAGAAGTTTCAGAAGGAGCAGCAGCTGAAGAAGCTTGCTGGGAAGGGGGGTGATGGGGAGGGAGGGGGGAAGGAGGGAGGAGGGAAGGAGGGAGAGGGAAGGGAGGGGCGAGAGGAGGAAGAGGAGGAGGAGGAGGATGATGCGAAGGTTGATGAGAGCAGGCAGATGGACTTCGGGAAGGTGGAGAAGCGTGTGAGGACGACCGGTGGTGGCAGCACAGGTTCAGTGCGGTAAGTCCATTTTTCGATGGTGTGTAGAAAGGTGCAGAAAGATAAGCTCCGTTACAGAATGGTGCGTGTGAGGATCAGTGCGGTTTGTACAGTCAGTGTTACTACATGGGCAATATTCCCTCCTGCCCCTGCTGCCTCTCGTGTCCACCCTGCCCCTCCCACCCCTCCCGTCCCTCCCCTCCCTCACAGAAACCTGCGTATTCGTGAAGAAACAGCCAAATGCCTCCTGAATCTGGATGTAGACTCAGCCTACTGCGACCCGAAGACCCGCTCTATGCGAGAGAACCCCAACCCGGAAGGAGACGCAAAAGACAAGTTCTACCTGGGAGACAACCACAACCGCATCAGCGGGCAGGCCCTGGAGTTCCGCCAGCTCACCGTGCACGCCCCCTTCTTCATCTCGCTCTGTCTCCCTTTCTTCCCCCCTTCTCCCCCCCAGAAACCTGCGTATTCGTGAGGACACAGCCAAGTACCTGTTGAATCTGGACGTTGACTCGGCTTACTATGACCCCAAGACCCGCTCCATGCGAGAGGACCCCAACCCGGAAGGAGATGCTAAAGACAAGTTCTATTTGGGAGACAACCACAACCGCATCAGCGGACAGGCGCTGGAGTTCCGCCAGCTCACCGTGCACGCGTGGGAGGCCATGGAGAAGGTCAACGTGGACGTTCATTTACTCCCTTCACCTGATTTCCAACCCCTTTCCCTCCCCTTCTCCCCAGAAACCTGCGTATTCGTGAGGACACGGCGAAATACCTTCTCAATCTGGATGTGGATTCGGCTTATTACGATCCGAAGACCCGCTCCATGCGAGAGGATCCCAACCCAGAAGGAGACGCCAAGGATAAATTTTATCTGGGAGACAACCACAACCGCATCAGCGGGCAGGCCCTGGAGTTCCGCCAGCTGACCGTGCACGCGTGGGAAGCCATGGAGAAGGTCAACGTGGACGTGCACTTACAGGGCGCGCCGAGCCAGGCTGAGCTGCTGCACCGGGAGTTTAAGGTCAAAAAGGAGAAGCTGAAGGGGGCGAGTAAGGAGTCGGTTCTGGCTAAGTATGGGAACGCGGCGAATAATAAGGGGGCAGAGGAGGAGGGGATTCCGGAGGAGCTGCTGCTGGGGCAGACGGAGGTGCAAGTGGAGTATGACCGAGCGGGACGACCACTCAGAGGAGTGGTAAGTGGCACAATGCTTTTGCTTATAACGGGTATGGTGTGTACTGTGGTGCATTACCTCCCTTGCTTTTGCTTATAACGGGTATGGTGTGTACTGTGGTGCATTACCTCCCATGCTTTTGCTTATAACGGGTATGGTGTGTACTGTGGTAAGTAGCCGTATGTTCTGGCTTATAACGGTGGGTACGGTATGTTCTGGCTTATAACGGTGGGTACGGTATGTTCTGTGGTGCCACAGTTGCTGTTCTTACTTTTTTCTGGAGATATGAAGGGATTCCGTTAGAGCTGCGGCGGCTGCTGCTGGGGCAGACGGAGGTGCAATTGGAGTACGACCGTGCGGGACAACCGTTGAGAGGTGTATTAAGTGACACTACAGCAGTCGGTACAAGGAGGGTGTTCTGGTGTACAATCACACGGGGGTGTGGGGCAGCTGGTGGGGGGGGGGGGGGGGGGGGGGGTACGCGTGCTGCTGCTGCTATTAACAGTCTTTCTCCCTTTCTCCCTTTGCTGCAATCCCTCCCCATCTTGCCAGGACAAGGCAGTGCCATGCAGTCGGTATGAAGAAGACGTATTAGTCAACAACCACACAGCCGTGTGGGGCAGCTGGTGGGGCGGGGGCGTGTGGGGGTACGCGTGCTGCCACCAGACCACTCGCATGAGCTACTGCACGGGGGCCAGCGGCATCGCTGCTGCCGAGGCTTCAGCCAATCTGATGCAGGCGAACATGGAAAGGCGCGAGCAGCTGAAGGCAGCTAAAGGTGGGTGGTGGGCAGTGAGGGCGGTACTGGGGTGTGTGCATTGCTACTGCACGGGTGCCAGCGGCATCGCTGCTGCTGAGGCATCGGCGAATCTGATGCAGGCGAATATGGAAAGGCGCGAGCAGCTGAAGGCAGCTAAAGGTGGGTGATGAGTAGCTGAGGGGAGTTGCTGAAGGTGTAGTATGCTGCTGCAGTGAAGCCAGTTGTAGCGCGGTTGCTGCTTGGTTTGCTGGGTTGCTGGGTTGCTGGGTTGGCCAGTCCGGGTTGCCCTGCCCGTGTGGGGCTATGTGTGCTTCCACCAGACCACTCGCATAAGCTACTGGTGAGGCTCCATCCAATCTGATGCAAGCCAACAGGGAGAAACCTCAGCGTGTTCCCTTAACACTTGTGTTCTTTCTTCCTTTGTTAATTCCCATTCTCCCTTTCTCTCTTTCTGCGGAGGCGTTGGCCAATCTGATGCAAGCCAACAGGGAGAAACCTCAGCGTGTCCCTTAACACTATTGTCCTTTCTTCCTTCCCATTCTCCCTTTCTCCGTTTTTCCCTTTCTCCCGTTCTCCCTTCCCTTGGTTGGTTGCTATTGTCACAGAAGCAGAAGGCAATGAGGGAGAGGGGACGGATGAGAAGGGAACGGGGAAGGCGAAGCACGCAGAAGAGAAGAAAGGAGTTGCCTGGGGCACAGACGCTGATCTTGATCTCAACTCCCTTCCCTTCATGCTCACATTCATTCTCCCGTTCTTCACTCTGTTGGTTGCTACAGAAGCAGAAGGCGGTGAGGGAGAGGAGGCGGAGGAGGAGGGAGCGGGCAAGGCCAAGCACACAGAGGAGAAGAAAGGAGTTGCGTGGGGCACAGACGCGGATATGGATCTCAAGCTGGATAAGAAGAAGCTCAAGGCGGCTCTTAAGAGGGTATGTTGCGTGTGCTGCTTGCTCTGGGGTTCATGGCAGAAGGCCTTGTGTGAGTGAGACAAGGGCAGGGCAGTTAGGGGGGAGAATAAGCCAGTTGCATGGGGCACAGACGCTGATATGGATCTGAAGCTGGATAAGAAGAAGCTGAGGGCGGCCCTGAAGAGGGTGAGTGTGCGTTTGTGTTGCTTGTGAGTGAGTGACTGCGCGGAATTAAGTTAAAATAGGAAAAGAAGCCAATGAGGAAGGAGAGCAGTGAGGGGAGGGAAGAATCTGTGGCATGAGGGAAGAAGCCAGTGGTGTGGGGCACGGACGCGGATATGGAATGCAAGCTGGTTAAGAAGAAGCTGAGGGCGGCTTATAAGAGGGTATGTTTGCGTGTGTGGGCGTTCCTGTGTGTGTGTGAGTGAGGAGAGCAGTGAGGGGAGCGAAGAATCTGTGGCATGAGGAAAGAAGCCAGTGGTGTGAGGAACAGACGTGGATATGGAATGCAAGCTGGATAAGAAGAAGCTGAGGGCGGCCCTTAAGAGGGTAAGAGAGGGCGTGCGTGTGTGTGTGTGTAGAGGAAGGGGGGGGGGGGGGGGGGGTGGCGGGGGCAGAGAGGTGAGGTGGTGTGGGGGAGGGATTCGTCCTGTTGTGGGACAACTCATTTATTGTGTAGGTGTTAAGAAAAGATCCAACTGTGATTTTAGGTTGGGAGTCGGGACTACGTGCTATTTTCTGACACGGCTGCTGCTCCGTCCTAAGAAGTTTGGCTCTGTGTTATTTTCCTTCCTGTTGCCAATGTTTGACTTTGTGTGTCTCCTTTGTGTGTTATTTTCCACGTTTTCGTTCCCTTGCCAATGGCAGGAGGATGAACTTGCTCGGGAGGAGAAGGACGAGCGCAAGCGCAAGTACAATGTTACATATTCCGACGATGTGAGTGGTTCTGCTTTCCTTGTCGACGTGAGTGGTTCTGCTTTCCTTGTCGACGTGAGTGGTTCTGCTTTCCTTGTCGATGTGAGTGGTTCTGCTTTCCTTGTCGATGTGAGTGGTTCTGCTTTCTTTGTCGACGTGAGTGGTTCTGCTTTCCTTGTCGACGTGACTGGTTCTGCTTTCCTTGTCGATGTGAGTGGTTCTGCTTTCCTTGTCGACGTGAGTGGTTCTGCTTTCCTTGTCGACGTGAGTGGTTCTGCTTTCCTTGTCGACGTGAGTGGTTCTGCTTTCCTTGTCGACGTGAGTGGTTCTGCTTGCTTGTTCTGCTTTCTGTCAACTCGATGCTCGTCTTGTTGTCCCCGTCGAGAGAAGGACGAGCGCAAGCGCAAGTACGATGTCACATATTCCGACGATGTGAGTGCTATTGCTTGATTGTTGAGTCGAAAACTCTCCAGTTACACACAATGCCGTGTTTCGCATTCCAAACGAAGCAAGTCCATGGCTGAAAATAACTCTGATGCAGTCCTAAGCAAGTCCCCCACCGTACTTCACAAACCCTGTTTCAAACTCCCCTTCCCCTCTTACACCCTCCCTTCCCGCCTTCCCCCTCCTCCTACCAACATCCTACCAAACTCCGTTCTAGTATTCCGTCTCCCTTCCGTGCTTGCTCCTAACAGGTGACAGAGGGGGACATGGAGGCGTATAGAATGAAGCAAATCCATGCCAGATGATCCTGATGCCTATTCCCAACCTCACAAACCTCGTTCTAAACTCCCCTTGGCCCTCCTTCCTCTTCCTGGCTAACCCCTCTCTGGTTCTCCGTTTCCCTTCTCTTCCTTGCTTGCTCCTACTAACAGGTGACGGAGGAGGACATGGGGACATACCGAATGAAGCGAATTCATGCTGATGACCCCATGCACATGCCCCACCCTGCATCCCCCTCTCCTACTTACTGCCTAATCCTGCTTTCCCTTCCCTGCTTGCTTGTACTTGCAGGTGACGGAGGAGGACATGGAGGCATACCGAATGAAGCGAATCCATGCAGAAGACCCCATGCTTGCTTTCCTAGGCAAGGATGACGAAGATGACGCCTAGCTAACTGTTTTGTACATCTATTACATTGTCAGTACGCGTGTTCCCTGTTAGTTTGCGTACATAAAGCAGGCACGGTATTTTGTTCATCTACACGAGTAACTAGAGGATGCAAATATGTGCTGTGCGATTGAATCTGGTGGTGTTGGGTTTATAAAAAGTTTGTTTCCATTTACTTTTCACGAGAGTCCTTGTGATTCTCCAAATGCTAACTCAATAACCAGGTTGTTTGTTTTACGCATTTCATTGTCACAGCTTCGGTCGAAGTTGAGCCATACAGCTCCGCTGCCGCCTTTTTGCTGCGTTTTTAGGGCGTGTCCAATTCGTTCATTTCAGGATTTTTCGTGCCAACGCACGTATCGAGGTTGTAAAATGACCACCGCACCTAGAAACGAATGCATTGTGACTGGAGTCCAACCTCCTGTAATTTCAGAAGCGCGGACACATTCCCCGCCACACGAATCAACAGTTTTTGGGTTGCGAAGCAACCTATTACGATCGTTATGTACAATTTTTTTTCATCCTCTACTCTTAAAAAAAATGATAATTTTTGAAAGTGTAATGAAATGTAACACTTTCTAAAATTTTGTATTGTGAAAAGGGGTACGTGGCCAACACAGCAAAGGTAGCGCCGAAGCGCTACTTGTGAGAACTTGAGCTAGGCTAAGGAGCCATAGCTAGTTGAGTTCGAGTGAGTTAAGTTAGAGTCGAGAAAGTTGAAAAGAGAAGGAGGATTTTCACTATAGAGCGAGCAGTACATATAGGCAAAATGAAAGGTGCACCACCAAAACAGAACATTATATAACTACACTAGTCTACACTACAGGCAGTTACAAAAACAATATATAGAAATATATATTATTCTTGACACTACTCACCCTCTTTTGCCTACAAAAGAGGGACGTGGGGACATTCGTCCCCACCCACGTTTTCATTTTCAAAATTGTAGTTCTAATTTCCCACCCGCCCACCCATTTGTGTATGCTGTTATGTAGACATATATAAGACGAGAACGATGTACTACAACCCATATGAAATGATAACGCTGCCTTTGCCAGTCAGCCTAAGTACACTTTCACAATATAAAGGATGAAACAAATCTAATGAAGAGTAGCTGAAAGTGACTGACTTCTATGTATTTGCCACATCAATTTACCTTGTGCCGAACCACATTCCTTCTCTTTCCTAGCTTGTCTTCCTTCTCTTTTAATGTGTTATGAACGCATAACTGTTCATTCAGTGATGCATATGCATGATGATGTTATGCGTAGATGAAGTAATTGCAAAATGCATAATCATAATGCATATGCTACTGTGGTAGTAAAATGAATGCATAGCATGACGAAAATGCGTAACAGTTAATTGACCCAGACCCTATGCTACCGCATCCCCTGCCTAGCATGGGGAGGAGCTCAATAGCATAGGTCCTGAATCATCCAACTGTCACATGAAACAACACGATCTGTGTGATCTAAAAAAAAGGTCAATTCTATCAAAACCAGTTCGAATGAACACACTCACTGAGTGCGCAAAGAACCTTCTCGGAAATGATAGTTTGATCCCATTTTTTAAAACCCACAGACATGTGTTGTTGATGCAATGAAACATGGATGAAAGCACATACGGTACGCACACAACACAACACATGCAAATGATCATACACATTCACACATACGCGCACGCACGAAGCCACTTGACAAAGCATATAAACCGCAGATAAAATAGAAACATAAATCATCAAAACATCATATATCCTATACCGTAAGTCACAAGCAATATGTCAGAGGTCCACTGGGGATCCCTGATTGATCCTAGGGAAGGGTTACAGGCATGTTGGCCTGGGGGGTTATGGGCGCACTGACCCGCTACTTAACAAGCCCTTTTATCCCAGTGGTTAGTGGCTGGGATTCTGACACAATATCAGTCTACTTCTCGTATTGAGCTCGACTGCCTGGAGGGCAAGACAAAACTGGGTTGAGGAAGAGAAGGCAAATGACAAATAACAAGGCATAATGGGAGAAAAAGGAACACAATTTTTTACACACTCATAAGCCGACACCACGCAATAGGTTTGAAACCAACGCAACATTAGCTGAGCTTATCAGTATGCTTTGGGAAAGCGATAGCGTATTTTGAAAGGGAATTAAAAAAAAAAAAAAAAAAAAAAAAAAAAAAACAGAAACAAAAGCAACGGTTTCCAATCCTGAATGAAACTAAGTAGACAGATGACAAGAGAAGTAAATTGAAGGGAGAAGAGAAAATAATTTGATGAAGCAAGAGTTTTATTTATATATATAATTGTGAAAAATTTAGCAAGGCTTAGGAGCCATAGCTAGTAGGTCGAGTGAATTGAGTATCGAGCAAGTTGAAAAGGAGAGAATGAAGAAGGATGCAATAAAGAGCAAAGCTACAAAGACATAGGCAAGAACTAGGGTAATGAGGTGCACCACCAAATGGGAAACATAACTACACTAACACTACAGACAATTATATAAATATGAATAACATATTTCGACACACCCCCATAATTGTTTGCAGGTGTGAGTGTAGTAACGCCCCCTAAAGAGGGTACACCATGCAAAGTGCAGCGGAAGTAGCAGCAGTAGGCAGGAGCAGTGACAACCAGTGCAGAAAACAGAGAACAGAAGGGAGAGAGGAGAGAGAGAGGGAGAGAGAGGAGAGGAGGTGGTAGGCTCTGGTTGGTCACCCCCTACATCCCCTCACCCTCCCCCTCCCCCTCCCCCCCACACTGCTGCAGGAGCAGCAGAGGGGGGGCGAACGGAGGAGGATGGGAAGGGGAGACCACACATCACCCATCACCTCCACACCCGCCACCCCTAGTCCCTCCCCGGGCTCCCCCACACCCTCACACCCTCCCCCCCAGCGGCAGCTGCAGCAGAGGGAGCAAAAGGAGGAGGAGAGGGGAGGGGGGGGGGGGGGCGACGCACGGCCTCCCCGGGCGCCAAAGCAGGCGGCAGAGTGTCAGAACATCATAGCTTATGCTTTTGTGTAGGCTGTAGTGGGGTAGCCCATATGGGGTACAACTCAATTAGGGTTAGTACTTGTACCCAACTGTTTTCATAGTTCATCCATTCTCGTTCTCATTTACTCATGGTATCGAGCAGGTTCCCCTGTGGGAACTGTGCCTAGGGCCCACCAAATTTCAATTTTTTTTTTCTGACCGAAGCGCGCTCCGCCCGAGTCGCGCTCTCACCTCGTCGAGCCGCCCTAGCGGCCCCTATGCCCTAGCGGCCCTCCCTACCTTAGCGGCCCCGTCGCCCGTTCGTGCGGCCCCGCCACCTACTAGCGTGGCCCCGCCACCCGCATTCGCGGCCCCGCCGCCATACGTCGCGACCCCGCCGCCCTAACTGCGGCCTCGCCGCCCTACTCCTGCGGCCCCGCCGCCCTACTTCGCGGCCCCGCCGCTCTATGTCGCGGCCCCGCCGCCCTGTTCAGCGGCCCCGCCGCCCCACTTCGCGGCCCCGCAGCCCCACTTCGCGGCCCCGCCGCCTTGCTTCAGCGGCCCCGCCGCCCGTCTGCTGCGGCCCCGCCGCCCCACTTCGCAGCCCCGCCGCCCTACGTCAACGGGTCCCGCCGCCCGTCTGCTGCGGCCCCGCCGCTCTCCCCTCGTGCAGCAACGCGCCCGAGCCGCAGACCGCCGAGCCACCCTGTACCAGAGGAGCCGAGCCGCCCTGCCGCCGAGCCGCCCGGCCGCCCACCAGCCGAGCCGCCGTGCAGCCGAGCCGCCCAGCAGCCGAGCCGCCTCGCAGCCGAGCCGCTGAGCCGCCCAGCAGCCGAGCCGCCCAGCCGCCTAGCCGCCCTACAGTTGAGCCACCCGAGCAGCCCTGTCCGGTGAGCACAGCCTCTCTGTCACTGCGCGCCCTTCCCCTAATGCTTGCACTGCTAGTCTACCGTCGTCATGGCTACCCCTAGTGTCCTCGCTTTTGACGCTGAGGGTCGAGCCATTGACTTTGAGGTCTGGGTCGACGACCTGCAGCTGTTCCTACAGTGCGATAGGGCGGACGGTCTTTCTCTCTTTGACCTCACCTCTGGCGCCTCTCCTGCCCCTGCTGCTGATGCTGACCCCACTGTTCGCTCTCAGTGGGCCGCGCGCGATGCTGCTGCACGTCTTGCTGTGCGTCGCCACCTGCCTACCACTGAGCGCGCGCACTTTAGTCAGTACAAGAGTGCTCAGACCTTGTACGACGCTGTAGTTGCGCGCTACTCTTCCCCTGCCACTGCTGCACTGAGCCGCCTCATGCTACCGTACCTCTTCCCTGACCTTGCTGCATTTCCCACAGTTGCTGACCTCATTACGCACCTCCGCACTAGTGACACTCGCTACCGCGCCGCGCTTCCTGCTGAGTTCTGCGCCAAGAACCCCCCCCCCCCCCCCCCATGTACATCACTCTCTATTACATACTCACACGCCTCCGTGACTCCCTTCGCGTAGTCAGGGACCACTTTCTCTCAGTCTGTCCCACCACTCTCACTGTTGACCTCCTAGAGAAGGCCCTCCTAGCAGCGGAGAAGAGCATAGTCGCTATAGGAGCCTCTTGTGGTGACCCTCGCACCCCCATCTTTGAGGGGTGTTCCCCTTCCCCCCTGTTGCCCTCTGTCGCCTCTTCTGCTGCGGCCGACCTACTTGGTCTTGAGTCGGTCGGTGCGGCGTCCGCCCCTAGCAAGAGACGCCGCTCTGGCAAGGGCAAGGGGGGCAAGGGCGCGGGTGGAGCTAGCGGGGGTGGTGGAGGTGGCGGAGAAGGCGGCGGAGGGAGTGGGGGTGGTGGTGGGAGTGGTGGCGGGGGTGAAGGTGGCGGTGGCAGCGGCGGAGGCGGAGGCGGCGGTGGCGGTAGCGGTGGGAGCGGAGGCGGCGGTGGTGGCGGAGGTGGAGGCGGCGGTGGTGGAGGAGGTGGAGCTGGTCGGGGTGGTGCTTCGCACCGGAGTGGCTCCGGGGGTGGTCAGCGCCAGCAGCAGCAGCAGCGTTCTCGGGACATCCCCACTCC